CACGACAATCCCCCATCTCGAAAACATCCGTTCGTCCCCGCGACCGGTCTTCCGGTCTGCAAAGTTTCCAACTTTCGCCCGCCAGTGCGCTCGCCGGCGGCCGCGCGCGTCCACATCGGCGCCGTTTCGGCAGGGCTGCTGGCGAAGGGAGCGGCCGGCCCGGGTCGGCCCGGCTGCCGCTGCCAGCAGTGGCACAACTAATGGAACGGAACCGCGCGGCCCGCTTCCGGGCGCGTCCCAATCGCCGCAGACCGGACGTCGGCAAGAAGCGCGCACGAGCGTGCGTGGCGGGGGGTCGGCGGCGCGGGGAGCGCGCGAGGGGGCGGGCCGGGCCTGGCGGCGGCGGCGGCGGCGGCGCTATTGATCAGAGCCACATCCCATCTGCAGACGGCGGCGGCGGCCGGCAAGCCGGCGGCCGGGCCGGGCGCGCCGCCGTCGGGCCGGCCGGCCGCCGGGCGTGCCGCTGGCCGGCCCCGGCACCGCCCAGGTCCCCATCGCGCCGGCTCCAGCGTTGTGGCCGGCGGCGTGCACAGCTGGCCGGGCGCCGCCTACGTCCGCGGCCGCCGCCCGACGCGGGCTGCGGCCTCGTGCCGCCAAACACGGCCGGGGCGCACCGCTGGTACAGCAGCGCCGCCCAGCGGCACGCATCGAAAACACTCGGCCCGGCGCGCACACCGCGACGGCCGAAAACTGACGAGCGAGGTGTCGAAAGGAACACGATGTTCTAAGAGGATGGGCTACAACAGACATCTTGGTTCCAGGAGTAGTTTGCGGGGCTGCGACAAGCCCACCATACATAAAAAGGCCGCCAGAAAAGCTACCTAAATACCGCTTCATTCGACACAAAGCGCCGTTGTGTTTTGCTTACCAGTGTTAGGATCTCTTGTCATTATACCCAACCTAGCGTCAAGAATGCCACGAATGCACGGAAGCCGCGCACAGCGTGAACAGGCCGCACAGCAACCGCCGTCAACCTTGCTACCTTTACGCAGCCAGTCACGTGCCTGGCATACTTCGCCACGCCTCCTGTGTCCGCGGCACTGCCGCTGCGCGAGCCGGCCACGCACCGTGCATAGCCGCCGCGCCCGGGCCGGCGCCGGGCATGGTGGCCGGCGGGATAGCTGCGCGGTGGGCGCGTGCCGACGGCGATCGGCCGTGACAGGTGCGCGTCGGCGTCGGCGGTGGCGGCGGCGGCGGCGGCGCAGGGACCGGCGCCGGCCCGAGCCGCGAAGGCGAATCCACCGGACATTTCCCAGAACAGACGCGTTTATGAGTCACGCCAGCGGCGGCGGCGGTTCCAAACGTGTCATCGTTGTTTTATACGCCGCAATAAACGGACGAATCATCTCGATCGGTAGGCGGCGGCGGTGGCGCGCGCCACCGCCGCCAATCTTCCCGAGAGCTTTCGGCCATATATCATCTCGGGGCGGTGATCATCATTATCCGCGGAATACACAGGGCGACGGCCGCGCAGCCCGGCGGGGGACGGCCGCAGCCTAGACACACCCGGCCGGCCGCAACTCGCTCCGCCAGACACCGCAGCTCCAGTTCAGCCCATCAACGAGCTGCTACCGCCGTTACAGCAGCTGTAACTTGCTGTTTCCGGCCCGTTATCCGCATTTCGCACTTGTTTTACCCGGCCTTGTGGCGTAACAGGCGACGGAGCACGACCTGTGCCAGAGAACGGTGAGCACTGTAGCGTGCCAGCTCAGAAACAGCCCAGCGAGCGATGCGGGTCACGTAGCTCTCAGTCGCTGCCGCGGCGCAGGCCGCCGGCTGTGCGGGCTCCGGCCGCTGCCGGCCGTCTGGTACGGACCGAGCCGCCGCTGGGAGCGCCTGGGAGCGGCCGGCAGCCCCCGGCGGCCCCATTACCGGCCGCGATCCAATTAACTGGGCCAGCGACGGCGGCGGCACGCCGCGGCCGTCCGCGGCGCCGGCCGACAGGCGCCAGGAGCGCCCTGACGCACGCGAGGGGCCGCGACGCGCCCTGTTGGACAGGCGGCGTCACGGCCCGGCCTGCTGGAGCCCAGCTCCACCCCAGCCAAGCTCAGATGCGCCCAGCCGAGTGTGATGAAAGCGAGCTTCACAACACGGCCGGACGGTGCCCGGCTTAAACAAGGTGACTCATCGGCAAGGCCGTGGCGGCTGCCCGATACCGTCTCGATCGCGGTGCACATGGCGGCGTCTCCGGCCGCCGGCGGACGGACGGGCCACGCCGGGCCGCCGGCCGGCGTCCGGCTCCTCTCAGACGGCCGAGCCGGACGCCCGGCCCGCGCCGGCTGCCTCCATCTGATCCCCAGCCCAGCGCGACACATGGCCTACGTTCCGCTCGCGATCAGGCGCCACAATATTGTTGGCGTGACAGCGACAAGCATCGCACGCCGTGCCGACCGCCTCGGTCCCGTGCGTGCCTCGCGTAGGTTAGCCCCGTGTCGCGTGCGGGTCCCGCGCGCGGCTGCCCAAGCGCCCCGGTCGAGTTCATCCGACCATCGCCGTCAGATAAACGGGCCGCCACAAACCAGACCCTGCAATAAACGAAACAGGCAGGGGTTTCGTGGTATCCCGAGACGACAGCTCAGGATCAGTCATAACGAGCGGGGGATCCGTCGAGTCCCGAGCCAGTCGACAGCTCGGCGGGGGAACGGAGCAAAACCTCTCTGCACGCCGCACACCCTGGCCGGCTACAATGGTGCGATGGCATGACATAAGCCGACCGGGTAAAGCCGCACGACACGAGCCCCTGGCGGTGACAGTCGCGGCCCCGGCCCGCCCGGCCGGCAGGACACCGCTGCACCTAAACACAGCCGTCAGCAGACCAGCGCGAGCGCCACGGACCGCCGGCCGCGCCATCCCATCGGTGCCGCCGCAGCGTCGCGGTGGCGGGTGACCTGCGCCGGCCGGCCGGCGTCCCGCGCGGACGCGTCGCCGCGCAATCGATGCGCCATCTGCCGGGTCAACACGGCGATATCCCTGAATAAATGGACGGTCGCAATCGGCCGGTCGGTGCAAGCAGATCGGCCGGGCGGTGCGTGCAGATCGGCCGGGCGGTGCGTGCAGATCGGTGCCGCGCGGATGGGGAAGGGGAGGAGCCTGCCGGGCGGTCTGGTCCGACAACCCGGTCACAGGACGGAAAAACCCGGCCACAGGACGGAACAACTCGGCCACAGGACGGAATAACCCGGCCACAAGACGGTACCACCCGGCCAGAGGACGGAATAACTCGGCCACAAGACGGTACCACCCGGCCACAGACGGAACGCGATCGCTTAACCAGACGACTCGTATGGCTAACTCGACCGAAGAGCTCGCTGGAAAAGTTTGAAATGGTCACGCAGTGGGACAGCCTGACCTGACCCGTCGGTGGGCAGCCTGACCTGACCCCTTGGCGTGACAGCCTGACCCCTCCGTGGGAGAGCCTGACCTGACCCCTCGGTGGGCAGCCTGACCTGACCCCATGGTGGGACAGCCTGACCTGACCCCTCCGTGGGCAGCCTGACCTGACCCCTTGGCGTCACAGCCTGACCTGACCCCTTGGCGTCACAGCCTGACCTGACCCCTCGGTGGGGCAGCCTGACCTGACCCCTGGTGGGACAGCCTGACCTGACCCCTCGGTGGGACAGCCTGACCTGACCCCATGGTGGGACAGCCTGACCTGACCCCATGGTGGGACAGCCTGACCTGACCCCATGGTGGGACAGCCTGACCTGACCCCATGGTGGGACAGCCTGACCTGACCCCATGGTGGGACAGCCTGACCTGACCCCATGGTGGGACAGCCTGACCTGACCCCATGGTGGGACAGCCTGACCCCTTGGCGCGACGGCCTGACCTGACAACGAGACGTGACAGCCTGACCTGACCGCGCGGCGTGACAGCCTGACCTGACCACGCGGCGAGACAGGCTGACCTGACCCCTCAGTGGATATCGCGGCCCACGGCCGGACGCGCCGCCACCCCGCAGGACGCCGCGCTGACGCGTAATGACGCAACTGTTGACATGTGGTGCGAGGGACGACGTCACGCCGGTAACCGCCAGCCCAAGAGACGAGCTCAGCGCAGTGGCGTGCGCAGGCCGCCGGTGGCGCTGCGTCAGCGGGCCACCGGCTCGGCCGTACCTCAGCGGCAGCGGGCCGCCGGCTTGGCCGTACACGTCGGCGGCAGCGGGCCGCCGGCTCGGCCGTACACGTCGGCGGCAGCGGGCCACCGGCTCGGCCGTACCTCAGCGGCAGCGGGCCGCCGGCTTGGCCGTACACGTCGGCGGCAGCGGGCCACCGGCTCGGCCGTACCTCAGCGGCAGCGGGCCGCCGGCTCGGCCGTGCACGTCGGCGGCAGCGGGCCGCCGGCTCGGCCGCACGTCAGCGGCAGGGCGGCCGAGCCGACGCCGAGTGGAGCGGCTGCCGGTCCACCTGTGTATCTCCCGCGCGGCAGCCGGCCGTGGCGGCGTCTGACTGCATCCGTGCGTCAGCCGTGTTTCTCGGAGGCCCCATGTGTCAGCCGCGTGCAACACGCCCCTGCTGCGGAGTCGCGTGCCGTTGGCGAAACGCTAACGTCAGACACGTGGCTCGTGTGTACCTCGTGCGCCAGATACGTCGTCGTAGCGCTCTTCCGCCGCGGCCGGGGTGGCGTGACAGCTGTGAGCCTGAGAGCCTTGTGTGCCGCCCACGCCGGTGCCGCGCCCGATACGGCGCCAGCCGGTGTCACCAACACCGCACGCGCACCGAAGATCGCCGGCGCACAACACACACGACCCCGGCCCCCAGTGCACACCACGGCGCTGGCCGCCACCGCGCCTGCTATGCTGATGGTCTGGAGTGAATGGAGCACGGCTGGGGAAACAAACCACGCAACGTCGCCATTGTTCGGACGTGTTTGAAGGGCCGGCAAAGGAAAGGCCCGCGCCTCGCCCCAGTCACCCATACCAGGCCAAATGGAGACATTTCGTAGGCCACACACGACCAGGTCACATTGGTCTTTGGTCGAGAAAACCCAGAAAAACTCACCTGATGGGGTGAACTTGGAAATACTCGGAAGTGTCTGGTGGGGCGTCGACAGATTAAAGGCACAAGGAAGGCAGAGCTCCAGTTCTGAAATAAGTAAAACACGAATCAACATTTTCGTATCAAATGCGCGAGAAATGAAACACGACATGGTAAATAAAGGCAGTCCGGTCTTCAAAGGCCTGTCAGAAGCCTGCCGGTTCCAGGCGTGCCAACAAAATCACAAGTAACTCGGTGTCTAAAATCCAACGACGACTAAGTGACCCAAAAACGCGTGGAGCCGGCAAGTGGCAAAATTCTGCAACGAGTTACGGACGTAAAACACTTTACGGGCTGGTTCCTATCAACCCTTCTGCTGTGCTTCTCCATGTTACAGCGACGACAAACAGCCGTCGGCCAAGGCGACACGCGCGGCAGGCCGGCGCGCGTAAGGGCGGAGGCGGGTGGGGGGGGGGGGGGGGGGGGGGGGGGGGGTCGACAGTCGCCGCCGGCCGCGCCGGATGGAGGAGCCCGCGTGCAGGCGCGCGCTGCTACCAGCGGCCGCCACCGCGCGCCATATATGGCTATCTACGCCATCGGGCGCCGGCGCCGGCGCAGGTCAGCGTCAAGGCTGTGCGGCGGCCGGCCGCCCGCGCCCAGCTGTCCGGCCCGAGCGCGCCCCGGAGCGCCGCCACCGCCGGGAGAAAGTGCACCTGCGTGACCGCGCCGGCGCGACCCGGTGACCGCGCCAACGAGCGGCGCGACCGTGTCCCGCCGGCGGGCGGGGAGACGGGCCGCGTCGGACGCTGGGGACCCGGCCGAGTGACGACAGGTGGTGGCGCGGGGGGCGGGGGCGGCGGCCGGAGGTCAGGGACTCAGACCTGACGGGCCGCGCGGCGGCGGCTGACTGCAGGCGGCCGCGGGAGCAGTCGCTGCCAGCGCGCACTCCGTGCCGGCAGCGACGTTCAATGCGTAGCCCGCGCTCGCCGGAGAGCACCGGGCGTGCCGCGCCGGCGGGCTGGGCGCCGGCCGACCGCTGTGGCCTCGTGCGGCCAGGGGTCAGCCGGACAGACCGGTCGCCGCCGACACAGCTGATAGAGGAGACCGCCGGCGTCCGGTACACACGGGCGCGGTGCACGGGCGTCCCAGGGAAGGCCGCACACGCCCGGCCACCGCGGACGCTAGGACAGGCCCGACAACACCACATGTGATCAGATCAGTCTAGATCGAGACGATCTTGACGGGACCGAGGCCGCATGTGGCAACAAGTAGGTTACCAACAGCATGCCACGTTGGTAGTCCGCGGTCCTTAATTACGACCGCTGGTCAGAACTCAATCAGCGGGTTCCGTTGTAAAGTACGGCCTGCAAGCCAGCAATGCAGAACATAAAATCCATAAAACACTGACCTACCGAACATGAGCGGCATATTCCCTCACGGCCATTAAAAAAAAAAAACGCAAAAAGACATGAACGCTAATGGTGTGTCTATTTGAGGTCGGTGAAAGATCAGCGCAAAAAGCGTCCCTTATGTCTTTTATAAATGACGGCCATCTATTATCATTGCTTGTAACTGTCAGTGTTCAGTTGCCTACAAAAGACTCAATGCAGATGTTCAAAACGACACGAAAAGACACGAAAAGACCAATTAACTGACACAAACTAAACGGAGCGCAACTTTAAACCGAGTTGCTCAATTGCATCCATCGCTTTTACGAGGCCACACAAGTGACGTTTTCCCCATTGTGTTACGCTGAGCTGAATCGCAAAAGGATATCGTAATCGCAATCGCAATCGCAATCGCAATCGCAATCGCAATCGTAATCGTAACCGTAATCGCAAGAGGGTAACAGGAATCCACGCGGCGACCAGATCGAATCGACCGATAACCAGCCAGGTAAACCGCGGAGGGGAGCCACATCCAGTCACGGAACAAGCGAACGGACCGTCCGCAGCCGGCAGGACAGCGGCCCGCGGCCCACGGGCAGGTGCCAGACGAACCGCCGGGCTCAGAGGCGAGGCGGGCCGGAGGACCAGCCGTGCCGCCGCGCGCTGCGGCGCGAGACGCGACGGGCGGCCGGCCGGCGGGCGTGTCGCAGATGGCGTCGATACCCGCCGTTGCTGATCAGCGTCCATTTGTGTGCGCCGTGCGGCCGCCGCGGCCGGGAGAATGGAGAACCGGGTCAGCCGGGGAGACAAAAACACGCAGGTTGGCCGGACGGGGACGCATGCCTTTGTGTCACGGCGACGCCAGCTGACGGCACGACAGGCCGACGCGGCCGACGGGCGGCCGTGGCCGGGCGGTGAGGTCAGCCGCCGCCGCCGCCGCCGCCGCCGCCGCGGACACCGACGCCGGACGTGACTCATGGCGTCGGCCGTGTCGCGTCGACGTCGGGACGACGGCCGGACCGCGTCCGCCGGCGCATCCCCGCCCGCCGCCGCCGCCGTCACCGCCGACGCCGGTAAAAATAGCGCCGGACGGGCGGCCGGGCAGCGCGGCTGCGTTCGCACCGCGACGTCCCGTGGGTGGAGCGGCCCGGCCGGCCCCTCGCCCCCGTCGAGCTGCGGCCGACTCGGTCGCGGTTCCTGCCGGGGTCTCGTCTCCTGTCAGGGTGTCCGGGTTGACCGAGCCACGGTGGCCGTACTGCAGGGCTCGGCTCCTGACACTGGGTACTCGGACCGGCGGCTAAAGGTGGCCCATCATCAAACATCGCTCTCACGCACCGTCGCTCGCCGCCCGTAGCGTGCGCTGCAGCTCGCCGGAGGCGTCGAGTGCGCCGGCCTCCCGGGAGCGCGGCGCCGGGACATCGCCGGGGGGACACGACGGCGGCGACGCGCCATTAGCCAGACATGACGAGGAGGGCCGGGTCGACATGAGTACGTTGCCAGGTCATCATCGACGGTGCGAGCTGCACCAGCCGCGCTGCGCCGGCCCGGCCCGACCGATACGCCCGGCAGGTGGGTGCTCACCCAGTTACCGGCCCTGGATTAGCGGAGCCACCCATAAACAGACGGGCGCGGCCAACCTAAACAGCGGTGTCGGCCCGGGGCGGCGGCCGACGGCTTGCGCGTCTCCGCTCTCTCCCGGCGCACATCTGGCGCGCCGCCGGACGGCGACGACGACGCGCCGCGTCGCCCCGTCACGCCCTGAACGGGGGCGCGGCGCCGCCGTCCCGGCCGGCGCGGAGGCCGGCAGCCGCGTCAAAGGCGGCGTTCAGGGGCCGGCCGGCCGGCCGGGCCGCCCCGACGACGCATGGGCCGGCCGCTGCAGCGCCTGCAGGGCACGGCGCGTTCCAACAACAACAGCCGGCTGCTGTCGACAGCGGCGCGCGGCCGTCCGGACACGGCCTGATGACCGCGCCGCCGGCCACCTGGGTCTGAAGGCCGACCCTGGCGTCTGCACCTCTGCACCCGGCCGGCAGCGGCACAGCCGCGGCGGCGGCCGCGCTCGTCTACACAAACAGGGCAGGGCGTCAGCGCGTACTCGTCCCGAGCGGTGGCGGCGGCGAGGTCATGCAGCCCATGTCGGCTGCAAGCGACGGCCGACCGAGCGGCAACGATGCCGGAGCACGCACGGCCGGGCCGGCCGACACTCGAGCCGCCGCGCGCCCGGATGGCGCGGCTGCACGCTGACGCGCGCGCGCACGCCCGCGCACCAAACACGCCCACAGCGGGCCTGCACGCCCACGGAACCCGGTGCAGCGACCGGCGGGGGCGGGCCATGACAAAGGCGGCTGGCGGCCGGCGGCGGCGGAGGGCGGGGCGGCGGCCGGCGGACGCGTGGTCGTCCGCGGCCGCGGCTGCGGTCGTCTCCGTCGCCGACCGCACACGCAAGCACGGCTGCCGCCCACTGCGTCAGCTCGCGCGGCCGGAAGGCGGGATCCGGCGGCGGCGTCACCTCGCCTTCGAGCACGGCGGGCGGCCGGACATCCGCCAGCACGCGCGGTGACGCGGCGCGCCGTGACTCACGTCTACCTGCTGCTCCTCCTCCCGAGGCGCGGCCGGCCGGCCGGCGGCGTTCACTGCACGGTCACGGCGCGGCGGCGCAGACAGCACAGCCCGGATCGGCACGGGACGCGCCCAGCCGCCGGCGGCTCGCCAGTGCCCGGCCGCCGCCGGCGCCGGCCGCGCGCCCGCCAAGCCCAGCGCCAAAATAGGCCGCCGCAGATCGGCATGACGTCACCGCTCCGGGTGTGACGTCACACGCGGTGTCGCAAGCGGCGCGGCGGCCGGAAGGCGGCCGGAGACAAGGAGCGCGCCGCGACGGCGCTGGCCCGGCGCCTCCGCCGCCGCTGAAGACAGGCACCGCACCACACGTGCCAGGACGCCAGCGCTCGGACACGGTGGACGGCAACAGGTCGGCAGGAGCTGACGCCTGCAGGAGGACCACTCACCTCTGGGCTCGGTGCCGCGTGTCGGACCGTCCCCGCTCACCGCTCTCCCCACCCCGATCACAGCCCGTCAGCCGCCCGTCAGCTCGACGACGGCCACACGCTCCGCCTCTCCCGCGCGCTCTCCCGGCACCTGCACTCGCGCGGCCGCGTCGCGCCGTACACTGGCCGGCCGCAGCGCCGGTGCCGTCAGCGGTGCCCGGCCGCGGCCACCTGACGCCGCCGCGACCCAGTGACGTCACGGCCGCCAGCTGACTGGCCGGCGCCCGGCAGCGGCGGCAGTCATGTGCACGGCTGTGTTGTGCGGCTGCAGCATCGCCATGCCCGCTGCACGGAGGGCACGGCGGCCCAAGGCCGCTCGGCGCCGGCCCAGCAGACCGACGGCCGCTCGCTCTCTCCGCCGGCGACGCCAGTGTTTTGCGGGAGGTAGCGGCTGTTCTTGTCGCGTGGTTGGATCCGGTCACGGCAGCGTTCGGGGCCGGGTCGGGCCGGGGTCAGGTGCGGGTCCGGGTACGGTTCGCGCTGCGCTTCGAAGACGGCGCCGGACAGGGCCGGGTGAGGTCGGGTCCGGTCAAGGCCCATATACAGACCCGAAGGTCCAGTTGGGCCTGCTCGGCCAGGTCGGCCCGGTCGGACAGCTCGGGGTTCGGTCGTGTTCAAGAGTCCAGCAGGGCTGACGGCCACGCCGAGACCAAGTCAGGGTAGCCTGGGGTGACGT